AAGGAATGCTTGACTGGGTATGTAAAAATCCTCCTGATTATCACCGCTGGCACCAACTCCGGGCAGATACCTCGATGTCGCTGACATTTTGGTGCTCTCCATGCCAATGCTCAGCCATATGTTCCAGGCAATCTGTTAAATATATATAAACATAAGCATTCTCTTGAATTGGCTTCATATACAATTCCCCTTACATTCCAGATCTCTTCATCCTGTTGCTGTGCTGTCTGACCATCTTTAAGGCCCCGCTCCGTACTGTTGTGGTACATAATCTCCTGCAGCGACTTAAGTGCCGCCAGAGAAACTTCACCATTCTTGCTCAATGCCGCATTTTGAATGAACTCCAGTATTAGCGACCAGGCACGCTCGAAATCTCCCAGCATTTGAAGCAGCTCACGCTTTGTGTTGAACACCCGACAAACACCAGAAAGGGTTAACACCTGCGTTTCGGCCCATTGCTTTTGGGCAGTGTTACGCGAATGATGTATCAGTATATTGCCACTTGCATCCACCTTCTCGTTGCTGGCGGAGCTGCTCAGAGCACGCACGTTGTCCAGCAGGGGGAAGAGCACCTGCCAAACCAAAGCCTGCCATGTGGGTGGATTAAGCAAACTACCATGCGCCGCAATTGTGGAGAACAACGTTTGCCCAGCAGATTTTCGCACCGCTGGCCGCAGATCTACGCACAGTTCGCCCAGCTTGGCGTACAGACACATCCACAGTTTGTCAAACTGCGGCATTTTAAGAGTACCCGGAAAGTCGGGCAATATGGCCACATCCTCAAGCTGTGTGGACATTAGTTTGTCCTGATTTTGATTGAAAAAGTCCGAGATGTTCCACTGCAATTGCAAAGTCAAATCAATAAGAAATTCAATGGCATTTGCTAATCTCTTACCATGAGTCCAATGGCCGTCAACGAAATATTTAGCTCTTGTGTTTGAGAGCCAAATTTCGCTGCTGTGCTGATGCATAGGGGCAGGCAGCGCCAGGGCATGACCGTTAGAAAATCGGTAATGACCAACTGCAGGCATTGAAATGCGGTGCGTATCAGCGGCTCGCCATGGTGATCATTAACAGCGCCAATTATCTCAATTATAGCTGGCCAGCCAAAAGATAATATCTCACCAGCTGTATTTAGTATCTGTAGCACGCAATCCAATTGCCGCTGACGCACATCCGCGTGCAAAACAGTAGACAGCTCAGAGAGCGGACTAAGCAACATGGTTTGCAATTCCTATGAATGTAGGGATATATTTATGTATGAACATCTAGATATATAGTTATTCCACCTACCAAGTTCTCTTTGAGTGGCTGCTTGTGCTTGAACTGCAGTGCTGACTTAACCAGATAAGTTATAGCCTCAACGCCCCATTCCCGCATGCGTATATGCCGATGTTGGCACACCTCGAGCAGGTGATTGGTCAGCGGTCGCCAGAGCACTTCGATGCGTGGCATATTCACAAGTCCTGTTTCCATAAGCTTGGCCACAGCAAAGAGCGAGGGCTCACGATTGGCATATGCCAGCTCCATGGCCTCGTGCGAGAGTTTGCACAGTGCATCAATTAGATGATGCAAGGCGACATCATCTAAGCATTGACTTGATTCGAACAGTTGACCTATCATTTGTGACAGCACTGGCAAATCAGCCATTACTGCTGTCTGTATGCCCACATTGGCTTCCACGGCGGGTTTGGGCATTGCCTGCAAGCTGCCGCCTGTCGATGGCTTTAGGCCCAATATCCAAACTAAATGTTGCAACGTCTGCAGCACAATGTGCCACGACGATCCCAAAATACTGCCATTATTGTGTGCCAGTAGAAGAATCGCGCGCATGCATTGCAAATTCTTATTGGTCAACATAACTGGAGCTTGCATCACGCTGTGTGGCAACGAGGCGCTGGGCAATGGAGTGCCCACTGCCACAATCTGGGGTCGAAAATCGCCTCCATCTGCATTGCAGCTGTTAATAAACTGACTGCTTAGATCCTGACTGCCGCTGCGAGTGTGGCCTGTCAATACAAAAAAAAGTTTATTATTAATATATAAACAGATTTATAAATATATTTATGTGCCTACATCTGAGATCTACGTCCGGCTGTGCGCTATTGGCAAATATGGATATGGCATAATGTGGCGGAAAAGATGCGCGACACATGGCCATTATAAATGCATCGCGTGGCTGCAGCTGACCCAACATGCCGCAAAGCGCTGCATAGTTTTGCATGGCTTTCAAAATATTCTCGGTGGTGCCTTCGTCGATAGACGTTTCCACTAGCGGAATGAATGCGCTCAGCAGGCCAGACCAGCTGGAATTGATCAATTGTAAGCACAGTGGCGTGTATTCCTCGTCTGTAATAACGGCCATATTGTGTGTGGGATGCAGCTCAGGTGCGCGCTGAATAACTCCGCCGATGGAACGTGTTATGTCTAGCAGAATGGCATATGCCAAGGAAATGCCATAGCTATCAGGTATGTTGGGTGCATCCAGTTTGTCCAGCATTTCAAGACTAAAAAAGAAAATAGTTAGAAATTTACTATTGGGAAAGCTGCTGCTGCTGCAGTTCCTTACTATACGGCCTTTGGAAGGCCGGGCGCAAAGGTAGCCACCAAAGCCAGATAGGCACCACGGAACATAAAGCCGCACTGATTATTCCCGCCACTGGACAAAGCGGCCAGTGTACTTGGCTGCTGTCCAGCTGCACCAATTCCCTGCTGTCCTCCATTACTCAGCACAGCCGATGCATTGATGAGTGAGTAACGTATATAACTACCCATTGCAGCAATCATGTCGTGTACAATATGCGTTGCGTGATTCTTTAAGTCGTACGATTTGCAGAAGAACGCAATCAACGTAGATCGTGTCACCAGCTTGTGAATCACCTCCAGAGCCAAAGCACGTTGCCAGTGCGGTTTGTCGGGATCCAAGAACTTAATGATCAGCGACAAAAAGATCTCACACTCGGTAACCAATATTGTATGATACTTCTGTATCAATATGGCCACCAAGCGAAGCAAACGCATGCTTATGGGAAAGAGTGGCTTATCCACGGGCGCAGCTGCTGTGCCATTGCTTGGCGCTGGCAACTGACGATGCTTAACATTGGGCGAGAATAGTTTAATGACCAAGGCACAAACACGTTCCTTTAAGAGCAAGCGAAACTCTTGATTCTGTAAGGAAGAATAGATTTGTTATAATTCTATATATCTGTATATATATAGTCAAATCCAGGCTTAGCTCACCTCATGGAATACAGCGCTAAAGTTGCTGAGAACTGCTTCTAGCAACTCGAGTCCAAAGGTGCGTGTCATTTCTGTCATGCCCAGCAGCCAAAAAGGTTGCTCCGCATTGACCAGTTGCACCAGATCCTGAAACAGATGAAATGCATCCATTGCAAAAGTTTGTCCATCCTGGGTGCTGCTATTGGTATCAGTATCGGGACTATTAGAGCCAGATTGCTGCAGCTGCTGTTGTTGCTGCAGGCTGTGCACTGAATCCTTTTCCAGATAAACGCGCTCAAACACCAACGAAACCAGCTGCCGGATAGTTGCCCCTGCTGTATTCACAATAGTTGGATTCTTGGTATAGTGCAAGCGAAAACACAAGACCAAGGCCTTGGCCAGCGTATCTCCATGAACAACCAAATTTGTAGTCAGTAGCAACGTCACCGTTTGCAGCACCTTCACTTCTTCTATGTTGTGCTCCATCAGGGTCCACAAAGCATTTGTGATATATAAAGCGCCCTTCTGATCGACTACCTGCTGTGTAATCAGACGTTGCATCATGCCCAGACAGAACTATAAACAAACAAAGCAGGTAACAGTGGTAGAACTATGCAATTACGATGTATGTGACTCACCTTGATAATTTTCAAGTCTTTTGTTTCGCAGCCTTGTACCAGCGGATAGAGTATCTGATTGACGGTGTAGTAAACAGAATTTTGTTGGCTACTGCCGGCGGTGCATAATTTGGAGATTGCCTCCTCACATGCCTGCAAGAAAAACGGGATTTAATGACCATAGACAAATCAATTAACGCAATTGTCATAAAAAAATCAATTTCATTTCTTTTTATTGCTGACCGGTTGGCCCGATAGCAATTTCATAATTGCGTCGTACACACACAGGTGCAGAGAGGAGACGCGCCCACGCACCCCTCCCTCTTCCACTCCTTGCAGCCCACAAAACAACCACCGTACGCCGAATTGCCGTTATGATGCACACGTCAGCGGATTTAAGCAGGAGGCAACAGCAGCTGACCCTGGGCTTAGCCACTTACCTCTTTTATTTGCGGGTACTTCTTCTTGGTTTCAAGTGAGAGCGTCTTGAAGTCTGCCTGCAGGGCCTCAACAAATTTGTGCACATCAGTGCCACCGCCCACCACCCCGCCGCCGACAAATGACATAGTTATACGATTTTTTTTGTTCAGTTTCAACTGCTGTTGTGTGCTTGTTGTACAAACGCGACACTTAGCGCATTATATGTATGCAACATTTAAATACGACAATTAGGCTAAAACCACATGCGTTTAATCTCACTTTACGCTTATAAATGAACCAAACAAATATACGCAGGCGAGCACAATAACAACGTCGGGTGTTGAAAAATTTTTTGTGAATCGTTACTGACAGCTGCAGCTGACGTACACAGTTTATCGATAAGTGCAATGGCGCTTTTGTTCGGTCATGTCAACAGTTGAGCAGCTGTGGATTCATTTGCAATAGGAATTAAATATAATTTTAAACTTATATTTAGATGCAACGATATGTGCGATATACAATTTGCTTATATTTATTTCAAAATAAGTTGCATTTTTCAATATATGGACGAAATTGGTAAGCGAATTGCAATAAATCTTAGTATGTTTAGGAACATAAATAATTTAAATAATTAGTAACAACTTGCTGTTATTAACAGTCTGACAACAGTTTAACAGATTAACACATCCCTGTTATGCAAGCTGTTATTTGTCACAGGGTGACTATAATTATTAGTAGGAAAGTCAAGAAGAAGCACAGCAACACGACCAGCGGACGAACGCGGCCGACTCGCAGCACCCGTTGACGACGACTCTCGGAGTAAACAAAAAAAACTTTATTTCAGATTTATTTTAATAAGATTAAAACCCTAAATTCAAACGGCATTTGAATGCAGACGTGCTCGTGATAAAGTGCATAAACCAACAAAAGTGTCATAACCCATATAAAAACAACAGAAAACCGTCAACAAACGAAGCAGTAACTAAAAAAAGAGCAGAAAAAATCGCGAAACCTTTGCATACACAGAAATAAACGCTTAGACTGTTTTTTATGCCTGGCCTGAATGACTAATGAAACAGCTTGAAAGCCAACTGACAGTAAATTTTGTCAAAACAAATGCTCGGAGAGAGACATCCAAGGCGATTCAACGCAGCTACTTATTGTCATAATTTTTGTTTTAGATATGTATTTACATATATATATGTACTGTCAACAACGCGTTAATTAATTATGAGCAAACACTAAAAATAGCTAATATAAAAAAGGAAGCGAACAGACCATCTAGTAATTATGCTTGACCCTGGTCCAACAATAGCCATAGCCACAGACCCAGCGCCGACGACTTTGTCGCTGTCTTCTGGCTAACGCTGCCGTTGACGTTGACGTTGACGCTGACGCCGCTGTCTCAGTCGCTGCTTCAATTAACAAATTTACTCGCCAAGTTGACGTTGACGTCGGCGTCGCGACTAAGCTGCTGCAGGTAAGTTAGTGTGTGAGAGAGATACAGAGAAATACAGCGAGAGCGGGGGAAGGGCTAAGGCGGATAGGCGGATGAGGGCCAGTGATAATGCAATGGGCCAAGCGATGACTGCGTTGTTTTTATACATTTTATACTTTGTAACTGTTGCAAAATATTGAAGTGGGGGTATAATGATGTTAAGCAAATGTATGTAACAGACAGAGGAAAACATAGATATTACATTAACATATATAGTCATGATCAGCATTTAAAGCTCCGCTGATTTAATCTCTTCTGTGGTTTTTTTAGACCTTGTATAGGTATGCGCTGAGTAGGCATTCTGTTACTTGGCTTGTTACCTAATATAAAGATTCGAAAAAAATGTATTCTTACCCGGACTTCAGTTGAAAAGCATAGATTATCATTTTGCAAGGTATCTACCAATCGATCACCTCTTACATAGTTGATTGTTTAATTTATTAACATAAGCATAATGTATTTTTTCTTTCTGTTTTTTATGAGAGATTGAGTAATAGTGTTTTTCGTTATTTATTTTATTTTTTGGTATTGCCAAATTGTTAAATATTGAGAGCAAAGGTTTTTTTCAGCTAAACGGAAACGCTTTGCATATAGCAAGCTGATCAACCATATATAAGCTATATCAACCACTAGCTCTGGTCAACGCCCTCTTTTTGGCGTTTTTGATGCGACTTTGATTGATAGTAGCATGGTCCAGCTGAAGATTTTTTCTCCTTGTTTTTTGTAGTTTTTTCTTTAGTTTAGTAGGAAACCCGTTTTGTCAGTATAACCGTCGATTATCTGCGGTTCAATGTACTTATCAGGGTCCATAGTTTTTGTACAATTTCTATGAGAAGCAGTAGGCAAAGCTAAGTCAGCTACCAACAAATATACATATATATATTTATATAAATATACTTGTTGATGTTTTCATATTTTTGTAATATAATATTTAGCAATTGTTATAGCTTAATAGCTAGTTAAATAATAATTGTTAATTTTAGCGCCTCTTTCGCAATTCGAAACTGTTCAAAGCGCATTTCAATAGCTGTACACTGAAAAAAATAATTATTATACATAATACATTTAAAAATACGTGTCCGGAAAATGTGAATTTTCTATATTTAAAAATTAATTGACTTAGAATCCTACAACATATTTGCATAATTGGGTTGGAATTCGAAACCACAGTGGGGGAATGTTTGTTCAAGCTATAAAGCAAATTAAGTTTGAATAAAAAATAAAGTCTAAGAATGAAATAATTTTATATTAATTATTTTATAATAATTAAAAAATTTCAATATCGATATTTAAACAAAATTATTGTCTAGAAATCGTGTATTTTGATATATACTTAATATATATATACTTAAATATATATAAAGTATTTCGATTAGTTTAACAATATTTCATGCTGTATTGTTCTCTCTGCTTCGAGTGTAGTCAACTGATAAGGCGAGAGCTAATTGGTATGTTCGTTGATTATGCTAGAGCGCAGCATGTCGTTCAGACCGGAAACATATTGATTAGTATTTTGTAAGCATTGCAGGCAGGTGCCTAGCTCAAGTTCTTCTCAGCACGGATGACTCACTATGCGAGATGAAATATCTGTTCACATCGGACACACATACATATGTATATGTATGCATCACTTTCGTTTTTTTCCAGACATTTAAGCGCGTCACGCTGCGGTCTCCAATACGAAACTGATTATTAGTTTTGCCATTGGAGCTGTTTGCATAAGGATTTACGTTTCATCTTGGGCTTTTCATTTGCTCTGCGTTGATAAGCTGCTGAATTGCAGAGAATGCGTCAAAGAAAACGCCATAAACAGTCTGAAAACAAAGAAACAAAAATATCTCACTGACAACCGAAATATGTTTTCTTAGCAGTCTTGTTTGTAGACTAATAACAACTGTACATTGAGGCGTCTATATGAGTTGAAAATCTAATCAAAAAAACCGGTTATTCTACACGCTCACAATGTGCAAAGTGGGTATATTGATTATTGGATAATAGTTATTGGTAATAGAGCTAGTTTGAATATATATGCTGTAAAGCTCGCCTCATCTATGGAGCTAAGTCTTTTAGGATCCCTTTAAGGGTGTGATAAATTGATAGGCACTTTAAGAGCTAAATTCTTTAACGTTGCATGCAAATGGCATTGAATGAATGTTGACCTTCTCTATTAATAGATCAATCAATAATATATTTCGCCCATTGGTTGCAAGTCAAATGGAGATATGTCGATTTTTATCGATAAATTTAATCGATTTCGGAAATTAAACGAGTATTAAGCAGTCGCTTGCACTCGTTTTAATGTTATCAAAAATGACTAAATAAATATTATTATAAATAATTTGCCTAATTGGGGAATTGATTGATTGATTGATTGGCTGATTGGCACATGTTTCAGAAATTTAGCTGTGTAAACCTCCACATTAACGTATCTTAATAGCATTATCTATCTGCTACCTGGCGATTATAGCGTGATATAGCCCATATTTGCCTTGTTCTCAAATGAGTTTTAATTTGACATTCGATTAGATAAAGACGTCCAGCCACTGGCCAGTTATCTATATCGCTCATATGTATTTCTGATAAGTCATGCTGGAATATTTCTGTTCTTATTGTCGAAGCCCAGCAATTAACCTCGATCGATTCGACTGATAAATGAAAGGGAAACCCACACAAACAAAATTTGAATAAAAGATTATTATAAAAAGTTGGTTTTTTGAATTGATTTCTTGCAATAAATGACTGAATGGGTTTTTTTGTTTTTAATATAGAAAGATTAAACTTTGCCAATAATTAGGAATTCTATTTTTAAATAGATATAATAGCTTATGATATATGATTTTGTGTTAAATTATGTTTTAAAAAATATTTAAATACTTGAATTTAATCTTAATCTCTATTTCTATAAGTTCCACTCCTTGAGCGACTACTGTGAAACTTTCTTAACAGCATTTTTATTGGATTGTCATAAATACCAAAATGAACTTTCAGTCTTTAGCTTTGACGTCTGTTGTTAAACAGGTTCGTTAATTTTTTTTAATGGAGGTCAGCAGAGGAAATGGGTCTAAAAATAAGTTACACCTATTATTAACATTTGAATAGCGCTCTTGACAATTAAGCAAGTTTGTTAATGGCATATATCTGTATATATAAATTTAAATAGTATATATATGTATAACAATTGACGTCAAATAAAGTTGTACCATTCTGTCGAGTCGTACTTGGAATCCATAATCTCCCGCTATAAGCCACGAAATTCGCATTTGATTGAAATTGATTGAGCTAAAATTGCGTTGCCTTTCAGATTCCTGAGTTCTAATCTGAAGTATCTGGTTCAAGGCAAGTCAAGTGTGTGTGTGCGGCTACGATAACAATCGACGGAATTACTTCAACTTCAACTTCTGAATTTAAAATGGGTCAAGAATTTTTTAACGTTTTTCAAAAGTTAAATTTTTTTATGTGACACGCATGCAAAACAGCGTTGCGCAGCCACAATTCTATTCTGGATGCTGACTGACCAGTGTTGTCAGCTCTTGAGACTTAAGAAAAAAGCCAGTTTTGATTGTTTGTTTTGATCAGGTTGCATTGGCTTTTAGCTACGCTTCCCATATGCTTATAGATATGTGTAAATTATGATGGAGAATTAGCTGTGAGTTCCTAGCATGTTGCTTATATTAACTGAATTTGACAGATAAAGACATTTACCAACACTGCAGTTAGTTATGATTTTGAAAGAAACTGGCAGCTTTTTCAACACTAAATTTTTTGTATGTGTGTAGTTTGATATATATATATATGTTTTATTTATCATATTTTTCATTTTTGTATTCATATGCTTTTCATAAACAGTTTTAATTAAAATTTAATTTTTAGTTAAAATTTGATGTAGCAATTGCTTGGGCAATAACCTGGACTAGCTTGCATCTCTGAATTTATCGTAATTTATGTGTATTTGTGCGGCTCATTAGCATGAGGCAGCAAATTTAATGTCAAATTAAAATAATTTGCTCTGCATACGTCAACAAACGTGTTTTGTATATTTAAGTAAAAAAAAAAGAAAGTTCTAACAAAAAGAAGCAAAATAAGATAAGACAAAAATTTTAATGGAATTTTCTAAAGTGTGTATTTGTTGAAGAGAGATGAGTTTCCCTAAGTGCTCGATAAGTAAACCAATTAAAGCGACTTCTTTTTTTCGTTTTCCTAATCTTTGGCCAATTAACATTTTTAGCATAAAAAATCATTGCGATAAACGAAATGTTTATTTCCTTTTGACAACCAAAAAAAAATAAATATGAGAAATTGTTTGAAATAAGTGACGCTTCCGTGGTCTTTCCTTTTTTATATTTGGGGCAGCCATATCAAAGTGTAGTTCTTATCAAAGCATTACCAGTCGAAATCGAAAAGGGTTTTGTTTTTTTTATTTCATACTTGAGTCGTTGAATTCATGGAATTATATTTGAACGGAATTAAATATTAATCTTTTGCGAAAAATATGGTTAGCGGGTTAAGAGGTGTAACGCGTACTTATACTTATATATCAAGTTGTTAAGAGTTAAGAGTTAGAATATAGAATCAAATATTGAGTCACTTTGCAAGGTAAAATAGTAGTTCTCAAACAGTAAAAGATCCTCAATCTATATGTGAACGGAACTGGTCAAAGAACAATCGGCTTACGTATGCTTGAGCTAATTCAATTAACGATATATTCTAAAAAGGTTCATCGCTATTGATGCTTATCGAAATGTCAATTGTATATTCATGCACACAGCTAGTTCGCCCACGCAAAAAAGATAAGATAAATGATACCCAGCTCGATAATTACAAGACACCAAACAACAAAAGAAGAGCGCAAAATGTTAGTCACGCTCTGTATGTGATTTAATAAGTTTATTTATTAGGCGCTCTCTTTGTTTACTTCCGGCAAACACTTGACACACACACACGCAAAATAATGAAGTTGCCTTTTGAAAAATACATACATGTATACATACTTATTCCATTACATGTGTGTGTGTGCGTATATGTTTGTATATAATTTCCTTTTGTGAACTAAGTATTTTTGTTTATCTTTCATTGCAGTCGCTTCACGTTCGTTGGGTCGCGCAAAGCAAAGCGCTGACAATATAAGAAATAATTGTTTAAATAAAAACAATTCAGTTTAACATTTGAGATTTATTACTGGAAGATTCGATATGGCTGCCGTTGGCAATCTACACAATACGCGCATTTTGCGTTTTCTCTTAGTTCTAATCGTTGTCATACTCACAATTTTCATCTATGCTTCATACTCAACGACTGCGACGCTGACGCCAACGCACATGCATGCAGCAGCGCCCGCGCCGACGCCACAACAGCTGACAGCGATTGCGGCGGCTGGACATCAACAGCAGCAGCAGCCGTTGATGGCGGCGCTGAATAACACAGGCGAATTTGGACTAGCGCCCGCAGAGGAACTCACTAACAGTAACAACAACAACAACAATAATAAAGCAAAGCAACAGGAACAACAGCATAAGAAACCACAGCATCGTCTACCCACCATAGATGAAGATGCTCTGCTGGATGGTGGCGCAGCAGGCGCTAGTCCCATTGCAATGGGCAGCGAACAAGGCGATGAAATGCTCGATGAGCCGCAATATGTGCAAAATATTGATGCAATTACAGGTGAGTAATTGCACTAATTGTCACTAGCTATTGCTAACTAATAACAATATTGCAGGCAACATTAATACTAACAGCAACAACAATAATAACATTAGCGAAACTAAGCAGGCAGCGACCGTTGCTGTTGTACAACAACAACTGCAGCAACAGCAGCAGCAGCCGCAATCGCCTTCGGACGCTGAGAATCTGATGATACCCACATCCAATTTGCAAAAGTTCATCGAGAATGCTGATAAGATATTGAAGAACATGACAGTCAATAGCAGCAGTAGCAGCAACACGGCAGCAGCACCAGCGGTAGCCGCGCCATCAGCGGCAGTTGCCTCAGCGCCTAGCGAACAACGCACGGGTTGGTTAACTAATAATGCTCATGGCATGTTGCGCTAAACATTTGTCGTTTTGTGCAAATTAAAAAACTCCTAGAACAAAAAAAGTCAATAGTTATCTGTGGCGTAACAAAGTGGAAATACCCTGGCAATTATCACTATTCATACACAAGGCTGTGTTTATAATGAAACTCCGTTTTTCACAGATCAAAGAACTCTGCTATGTGAGCTATTCATCATTTCGTCCGATTTAACGTTCTTATTACTCAATGGATAGCTTTGGCTCTAGCTTTAGTTTGAGGAAGATCTTTGCTATGGTCTCCCAGTAATTATCTTTGGAGAGTCAACGTTAAAATATCTTAAGAATATATAAAAACAAAAAGGTCCCAAATTGCAAAAAGGATTTGATGGAAATTGCCTGGTCCTAAGTACTATGTGTCCGATTAGAGAAGTTTTTTATTTTCTCCACTGCAAGGGCGTTTATACATACATTTAAACTCTAAATACCTTTTAGAAGCAGCTACACAGTTACAGCTATCATTGCTCATTAGCTGAAACGTCTGTCGTTTCTTCAGCTTTTGTTTGCATTCTAATTGGCAGACAGTGCGAAGTATCGCATTTCCTTAACGGGTCTAAATGGCGGGGCAGACAAAGAAAGGTTCGGCTTGTTTGTTTGCATATTATACAACGGCGCACATGACGTGCCCGTGCTCCGTATAAGAAATATATATATATATAAACATATATATATTTATAGTATATACGTATATAATTATAGATAATTGAGTTTTCCCAGCTATTACTCACTTTTCCACATTTGTTTGCAGATAAGACCAATCAGCCGGGTTTGATGGAAGACGTGCAAATAAATTTGCTGGATAACAACAATTCACCTGCTGGCTCTTACGCTGTAATGCCCGTTAAGGTACCGGTGGAGGAGGATATCAAGAAGAAGCCGGCAACAGCTAAGCCAAAGCCCAAAAACACCAACAACAAGCCATCCAGTGGTCCAATGGATCCCTCAAAGGGCATTCCTGCGGAGAGAATCTATGAGAGCGGACATCTAAATGAGCAAATAGATGTGGAACGCATATGTCCTTCAAATGGCTTAAATACTCGTCTACTTATTCTGATCACCTCTGCACAGACTCATGCAGATGCTCGCATGTCCATACGCCAGACATGGGGACATTATGGAACGAGAAGAGATATAAGCATGGCTTTTGTTTTGGGTCGCGGCACGAATGAGACGGTGAACGCGGCTTTAAATCAGGAGAATTATATGTATGGTGATCTGATACGTGGCAATTTTATCGACTCGTACAACAATTTAACGCTAAAGACAATCTCATCGTTGGAATGGACCGATCAACATTGTTCGAGTGCCAAATATATATTGAAAACAGATGATGATATGTTTATCAATGTGCCCAAGCTACTGAATTTCCTCAAACAACTCGAGAAGCGTAAGGAGAAGCGCGCGATCTATGGCCGTTTGGCCAAGAAATGGAAACCAATACGTAATAAGAAATCAAAGTACTATGTATCGACTGACCAATTTCCTGCGTCTGTATTCCCATCCTTTACAACGGGTCCCGCTTACGTTATGACAGGTTCAATAGTTCATGATCTATATGTTAGATCTTTGAAGACCGTCTATCTGAAGCTGGAGGATGTCTTCACCACAGGGATTGTGGCACAGAGTTTGGGCATTGAGCGTTTGCATGTGAATGAGTTTGTTAATCGACGTATTTCGTTTAATCCATGCAATATACGAAATGCAATTAGCGTCCATATGATCAAATCGAATGAACAATTCGATCTGTGGAAGAAGCTGCTGGACCAGGCCACGAAATGTAAATAGTATTTTAGGTTTAAGCTGTGAATTTAATGTTTAAAGCAAAAGAAAAGGCAGCTAGTGGCAGCAAATAGTAAATACTTTAGTATATTAAGTATTAGAAATATGTATCTATATCTATTATATACTCGAGCGTTAAATGCATACGATTTTAAATGTACTATCACATTTGTTTTTAATTACGTTATGTTTTGTAGTCTAATTTTAGCATTATAAATGCCATTAATTATCTAATAATTAGCAATAATTTTGTTAATAAGTATGTTAACACAAATGCAAAAAAACAATCGAAAGTCTCAAAGAAAATTATGGTCTTAATGTGGTCTTCAAATTATTTGTTTCTTTTTTTTTTCGAAATATAAAAAGGCAGCTCTTTTAAGTATAGCAAATTGTGTTTAAATCTAGAATGAATTATCAGCTTTTTAAAAGCTATTTACAACGATTTATATTTAACTGCGTTAGTTGTTTGCGTAAAATTCATTTAAAAAATATTTTTATCAAAAAGCACTTCAAAAATTCGATGGCAGTTAGTCCGATAGTTACGCCATTTCGATGGCAGATTATTCATGTCATATTTCGATTTATAATGAGTGCTCTTAATGAACCGCCACAAAAAATACTAGTGATATGATATCGATTAAAGCGGCGATATACACAACCATCCTTGGTAAGGCAATTAAATTTAAATATTGTAAGCATATATCAGTTTTCGTGCGTGGAGAAAAAATAATAAATTATATTTTATAAGGCTACGCATATTTTTAATAAATAATGGCCTAAGCCTTTTAACCTGAATTAAGTAAAACTAACGTAACTATTAATACAACATTTTTTAAGTGCGGCACTATCACAAAAATCTATAAATAGATCAATGAAAATTATACAGTCATATATAATAACAAATTGTACAATGTAATTCAAATATATCGTAGTGATCATAAAAAGTTTGAAATATATCGATATCGATACCGATAGCATATCAACGCTAGCGATAGTAAATTGTGAATCGAATTGGAACTGAACGAAATGAACGGAACGTCAAAAATTCTTAACTGAACGCTGAACTGAACGCTTGGCTCAACTCTTGGGAGAGTTGTTTTTTATTTTGTGTTTAATTTGTGCACAATAAATTATTGACGTGTTAATTTGGTGACCATAAGTGCTTCGATAAGCGTGCGCACTTAGACGAGCTTCGAATTTTGCAGCGCTTCATGTGTCGTTTAATGCGCCAACGAGACAGCAACAAGTGGTGCCACCACAGACAGCGAAGCGATCAACGCCAAATAAAAAAATAAAAAGCAAAAAAAAAAAACCAAAAAGTAAGCGAAATTATTGTCAGCTATTTATATGGTAAAAAAGTTTGCGTGGTTGTTCCAAAAAGAATTATATATGTATATATATATATAAATCGCCTTGTAATTGCTAAGCAAAGTAAGCTAACGCTGTGCGTGTGCGTTTAAATATATATATATGCGTGTGTATGTGTAAGGCTGCCTGCTTAAAGTACGCTGCGCAGCTCTGTTTGGGCCAGCGTCGCGGCATATAAAACAAACAAAACAAAAAAATTCGGCCAGCAATAACAACAACAACAGGCATAGTGACAATACAAACGTAACGGGGGGTGTTTGACTGCTCTCTTTGATTGTCTGTGTATGTATGTATTATTTATTTTTTGGTGCGCCTTTGCCAACCAAGCCATTATTTTTTAGTCTTATGACGTAAACCACCGAAAATCAAAAGTGAGCAGAGCATCACAAATACATATATATACACGCGTACATGCATAACGAAGCGAAGGTGAGCGCATTTATGAATTCTTACTTTAAGTCGCGCCTCTTGTTGTTTTTGCTGTTGTTTGTTAATCGTCTCTTCTTGGAATTTCAGCATTCCAGAGCACGTTTCTTGCATTTCAAAGCCGTTATATTTGTAGTTGTTGTTTAATAAATTTGAAAGCCCGCCGAAATACAGACAATTGTTTACAATTGCCGTACATGATGTTCATTAGCAGCAAAGTGCATTAGCTTCTATGTAAACAAAAGTGTTATACCCTGTGACCGTTGCTAATGGAATAAAGAAAAGAGTGTATTATGTTGTAAGCAAATTGATTTATATAACTTCATATTCATTTATATTGTGTATATATACTTATGTATATATATGTCAAATTGTACAACTAAGTAAAAGATAAATTCTATATGCCCGTTTACAGGGTATTCACGTACTCGAACAATTGTTATAATTGCTGCTGCTGCATTGGCCTATTCAGGCACTGAAGCGATTACAACAGAATACAACAGCAGCGGTAAATTCTTGAGCTAAAGAAATCTCGTTGAAAGCATTTCCTACTCGACATGAAAAGAAATTGTGTTGCCCTCTGCTGCGAAGTAGCTGTTAAAACTATTTTGCAATTCACCAGGCAGACAGGCGGTCAGGCTGGCGAGCACATTTGCTTAAGATCATTCACAGTTCGACAGTGATGACAACATCAGGCAGCTGCAAAACCAGTCTTTCAAATGATTCATAAAGCTTAAGTTCCTAACCAACAAGCATCATCTATCGATGAAATCGCAAATTCAAATATTAACTGACAAAGTTGCATGCGAATGCCGTCAAATGATTCACACACACACACACACACATATGTGACCCTGCGCAACTTTTATCGTTTGCTTACTCTCCCTCTCTCTCAAGTGCTCTCTTCATATTTTAAGTTGATTCCTATTTTGGTAATTATCGCGTCATGTTTTTTGTTATTGTCGCCAGTCCACTCAATAATGCTTAATGTTTATGTATTTATCAATTTGTTTAGTTTAGCTTTTTAATTTCAATGCCTATATTTGTGTTTGTAATGAACAGTTTTCACGCACCACGTGCCACAACTTGCTAATTAACCGCTAGAGATGATGATAATCACTATAATTACTTGCGCGAATTGTGACAATTATTATCGATTTAGTCTAGTTTTGTTTATATAATTGTATATACATTTGCTTTTGTGAATGATTCATAATTAATTTAGCGATTAAACTTATCAGTTTGTCTGCTTATTTGTTAAGATTAAATCTATATGAAGTTGTGCGCAATTGTGTATAACTTAAACCGATTAGACTGAAAGCTTCTGGAGATATTTTTCTTTGAATTCGATTTTGTTCATATGAGCAGAGACACGCGCTCATCTCTAGTCCAATTGTAGTTCTGCTTTTACTCCGCTGTTAATTTGTTATTACGGTAAATAAAGTAGCAGCAGCAGCAGTAGCAGCATCATGAATAAATTTCCAGCTGATTTGGTGGCGGGGGATGCGTTGCTGGTTAGTGGCTCGTCGCAGCTCGGGGCGTGCAGTTCAAAGAGAGATTGTGCTGCTCCCAATTGTAAACAATGAACAGCTGAGCAAAGCAAAGCAAAGCAAAAACAAAGAAATAAATAAAATAAAACGAAAAACTGCGCATGCCTAAGCCAAATAAACACAGGCAAACACACACGCACGCAAACACACTTTTACAGTCGAGCAACGAAATGCGTCTCAAAAAGTTAGGGTTCGCTTGCTTTTCCCAATTGATTTTTAATTAAATTAACTAACTAAATAATATTTTTGAAATTTGTAGAATGTCGCGGCACGAAAAATCGAAATCGGTGGGCGGCGGCTTGCTGGAGAGCTGGTTCGGTCGCCCCTCCAAATCGAAAGGCAGCGGCAACTACAACAGCAATTCACTGCCTCATGGTGTCGGCGGTCGACCCCTGTCCACGGACAACGAGGGCGGCGTCGTTGGTGTGGAGGAACTGCAGCGGCATATTCAAGATCTAAGTGAGGCGGAGGTGAATGCCAGATTTCTGGAGATTATCGAAGATATGAATATACCCAAGGACAAGCGTGAACCGTTGCTCAACAAAAATATGGAAGAGCGCCAAAAGATGATATTCATGCACATGAAAGGTAAGTTGAAGAGACTAGAGCGGTAGGGGCCAGCGTTAACAAAGACAAGCAGATAAGATTGACAACTGCACACATTGAATAGATTGAACGCTAGACAAATACAGTGGTTGTTCGCTAAGTGGGACGCTAAGAGTTTCAACCTGATAGACATATGCAAAAGAAATTAAAAAATTATAATACATTCGAAATATTTGCATTTAAATCTGTTTTATCAATCTGAATGACTATTTGATGATAAACTCATATATGAGCTTGCGTAAAAAATGACGATTGACTGACTGCTTGACGATTGATTGACTTTTGTACATATTTTGGTCTAACTTACTGATTGACTGATTGATAAGAGACGCAGAGCCTTATGATCTATTAACTTAAATTTAGAAATATGCGGTAGTAACGGCTTACAAAATCAGTACATAAAAGAATACTTCATTAATTTCTGAATAGTTAACTGATTGACTGACTACTTATCATCACAGTCTTCAGTGCTTGGGCTACAAAATTAAATGGCTTAGAATGATTAAATGACACAATGTAAATAATTGCATCTTAACTAATCTCTAAAGTGTTCCTATTTTCCGTTCTCATTTTCGAGTGATTCCTATAGAATCATCATGTGTTTTGCCAAGTTTTGTATCTGAGTTGACAGCATTTCTATTAAATTATCAACTCGTGTTGCGCTTTTGTGCTATTTTAGCTCGTGATTCATAATTTGGCACCGTTTTATTGGAATGTAACGTTATCATATGTAGGTGTAGTTGTATATGATATAGGTTGCGTTATCTAAAATTGAAGTAGTTGCAACAAGGGCGTGAAAGTCGTGAAGCTCTAACTTAAAAATTTATGTAATCTTGATTATGATTTATGATAAGCATTAAAAAATTGCAGTTGCACCTTTCAATTAACTGACTTAAAACATATGCAAATTTCAATTGCGCAAACGTTATCCATGCACACCCCTGCCAGGTAAACCATGGGTAGACCTCTATAAACGACAACAAAAACAAAATTGTTTCATTAATGAACTCAAGCGGCACTCGTTTGTGGCATTTTAATTAACAGCTGCTCATTGTAGCTGTAGTTGAAATAGTAACGCACAATTAAGTACACTTACTATAGATTCATATTTTATTTAATTGCTACGAAGTTGTTTAATCAAAGTAGATTAAATGTAGCTATGCATTTAACTAAAGCAACAAGCATTTAACTGTGGCTC